AAAAGACATGAACAGAGAACAACAAACAAGTTTAATAACATGTATACCTCCTGCATACATAGGAAAGACCCAGGAAAACTGAATAACTCGCCAAAATGGCTGAAGGCCACCTTAAATACCATCTCCAGCTGAGGACAAAAGAAGATAGATATTGGGGTGGGGGAGCCAGGTAAGGAAGGTTATCAGGAAAAGCACATTAAATTGGGGTAAAGTTGTTACGCAGATTTAGGTTACTTCCTTCTGCATTGATAAGTGTTTAGTCTGGAGATGTCATCTCCTCTTATTGGTACAGAGGGAGACACCCTTGGAAATGGAAATTTCCCTTGTAAATGTAGCTTACAAGAGTCATTTCTACTTGGTTTTTGCAGCTTTGCCCAAATCTGTTTCTTTTCTTTTGATTTTTTTTTTTTTTTTTTTTAGAGAAACATCGATGTGAGAGAGAAAGATTGATCGGCTGCTTCTGCATGCACACTAGGGAGGGAGCCCACAACACGGGCATGTGCTGTGACTGGGAATTGAACTGGGACCTCAGTCCATGGGGCAACACTCAATCCACTGAGCCACAAATCTGCTGTTTCTTAAAATTAACCTGGCTCAAATAATCCTTATGCCAAAGAAACATTTTGGGGTGACAAATTCTGTTCCCCTATAGCTCCTAGGCTACAAGGCTGCACAGCTTATTACTGTACTGACTGTGGTAGGCAACTGTAACACAATTTTAAATATTTGTGTAATATGTTTGTTATGACTGCCGTGGTATCACTTAGGCTCCACTATAATCTTATGGGGCCACCATCGTGTATGTTGTGGATGAAAAACAGGTTCTATGGACAGTGGTAACCTCACGGTGATTTGATCATAAATTCCTAACTGGGCAGGTCTTGGTGGGTAGTCATGCCCCAGGTCTATAACTTCTTTTTTTTTTAAAAAAAATCCTCACCCAAGGATACTTTTTCTCAAATATCTTCAGATAGAGGTGGGGGGAAGAGGGTGGGAGAGAGAAACATCAATGTGAGAGGGACACATCAATTGGTTGCCTCCCACACGATCCGACCAGAACCAAGGATGAACCTTTTTTTGTTTTGTTTTGTTTTAACAGGCCTATAACTTCTTCAGTAAAAGGTTTATCTTTGCTTTACACCAGCCCTATCCATTGTTTCTGTGCATCTAGGTTAACACACCTTTGAAATAAACCACTCTCAAGAAAGCACATAATCTTCCATAATGCATTAAAGCTGCAAATGCATTAAAGCTGCAAAATGGTATACTTGGAATACTTTTCTTACTCTGTTGAGATCTTGCTTCCAGGTGTATCCTCTGTTTGGGTCAAAGTAATTTTTTCCCCTTTTTTGTTATTTTAATATTTTTTCAATTATAGTTGACATTAAATCTATTAGTTTCAGGTGACATTAAACATTTTACATTTACACATAGTGTTAGATGGTTATATAATTTCGGCTCAAATAATTTTTTTTTCCTTTAAAAAATCTTTTTCCATTTTTCAATTATAGTTGCCATACAATATTAGTTTCAGGTGTACACCCCAGTGATTAGACATTATAAAACTTATCAAGTGATCAGCACAAAAAAATCTCAGACCCATCTGACACCAAACATAGTTGTTAGAATATTATTGACTATATTCCCTATGCTATATTTTACACCCCCATGACTACACTATAACCACTAATTTGTACTTCTAAATCCCTTCACTTTTTTCACCCATAACCCCAACCTCCCTCCCATCTGGCTACCATCAAAATGTTCTCTGTATCTATGAGTGTTTCTGTTCTGCTTGTTTGATTTTTAGATTCAATTATTGATAGATATGTATTGCCATTTTACTGTCCATATTTTGATCTGTTTGTTTTACTACTTCTTAAAGAAGACCCTTTAACATTAAAGTAATCTTGGTTGTAGGTCTTTGCTTTTTATCACTTTGAATATTTCTTGTCACTCCCTCTGGCCTGCAAAGTTTCTGTTCAGAAATCAGCTGACAGTCTTAAGATGCTCCCTTGTAGGGTAACTAACTGCTTTTCTCTTGCTGCTTTTAAGATTCTCTCTTTGTCTTGAACCTCTGGAATTTTAATTATGATATATCTTGGTGTGGGCCTCTTTGGATTAATCTTGTTTGGGACTCTCTGTGCTTCCTTGGACTTCTGTGTCTATTTCTTTCACCAGGTAAGGGAAGTCTTTTTTATTTTTTCAAATAGATTTTCAATTTCTTGAGTCCTCTCTTCTTTTGGCCACCCCTATGATGCGAATGTTGGTATGCTTGAAGTTGTCCCAGAGTCTCCTCACATTATCTTCATATTTTTGGATTCTTTTTTTCCTGCTGTTCTGATTGGGTGTTTTTTGTTTGTTTGTTTGTTTCCTCATATTCCAAATCTTTGATTTGGTTCTTGGTGTCTTCTACTCTACTATTGATTCCCTGTGAATTATTCTTCGTTTCAGTTAATCTATCCTTTATTTCTGACTGGTCCTTTTTTATGTTGTTGATGTTCCTGGTAAGTTCCTTGAGCATCTTTATAACCATTGTTTTGAACTCTACCTGATAGTTTGCTCACTTCCATTTCATTTAGTTCTTTTTTTGGAGATTTCCTGTTTTATGTATGAAATGTTTGTGTCTGCATTTTGGCTGCTTCCCTCTGTTTGTTTTTATGTATTAGGTAAAGCTGCTATGTCTCCCAGACTTGGTAGAGTGGCCTTGTGTAGTAGGTTTCCAAGTGGCTCAACCTCCCCAGTCACCTGAGCTGGGTACTCCAGGTGCGCCCCTGTGTGGACTGTGCACTATCCAGTTGTAGTTGAGCCTTGATTGTTTTTGTTTTTAATCCTCACCCGAGGATATTTTTCCATTTATCTTCAGATAGAGTGGGAGGGTGGTGGGGGGAGGAGAGAGAAAGAGAGCTCTGAGAGAGAGAAACATCGATGTGAGAGAGAGACACATCGATTTATTGCTCCCGTACAACCACAACCAGGGTCGGGGACGAACTGCAACTGTGTTATGTGCCCTTGGCTGGAATCAAACCCGGGTCTCTTTGGTCTGCAGGCAAATGCTCTAACCGCTGAGCCAAACTGGCCAGGGTGAGCCTTGATTGTTGTTGGCATCACTGGGAGAGATTGGCCTTTAGGCCAATAGGCTGTGAGGACCAGCTGTGACTACACCCAAAGAGCTGCTGTGCAGGAGCCAGCCCTATAGAGCAGGACTTGTTTTCAGTGGGGCTTTGGTGCTCACTGAGTCTGCCCCTTGAGTGTGTTGCTCATGGAGGTGGTACGGTTGTAAAATGGCATGGTCTGAAGCTGACCACTAGGTACAATGGTTCTGGGGCCTCCTGTGAGGAGCAAAGTCAGCCAGTACCTGTGCCCTGCCTAGGTCAACCTGGCACAAGCTACACAGCAATTTGCAGATGACTGCTACTTCTGTTGGGCTTGGAGGTGCCCAGGAGAGACCAAGCTGTGAACCAAGGTAGGCAGTCGCTAGTGCTGGGCCTGGGGCCACTTAGTGAGAAGTATGGGGCAGTGCTGAGGCCAGCTGCTGCTTTTTTGAGAGATTTTAGGAAAGTCTGAAACATGAGCAAACATATGCCATTCATATGGAAAAGCCACTGGAAATAGCTTGGATGTGCCTGCATGTTGGGTGCGGTGGAGTCTCAGGGAATCACTGTGGTGGGGCAAAGAGTATGAGCCAAGTTGATGGAGACTTAGATGTGGTGCCTGCCTGTGGGATCTGTGGTGGGAAAGGCTCAGAAAAGGAACAATGGCCTCTGTCAGCACTATTTTCTGGGAGAAATGTGCCTTCCACCTCCAGCTCTTGCCCTGATGCCAGAGAAGTTAGTTCTTCCCTGTATGTCCCTGGTTCCTTTCAAGCTGTTGCCCCAACACTGGAGCTCAGAGAGAGTGAGTCTGAGTAAATCTGTGCATGGGCCCTTTAAAAAGAACTCCTTGGGACTCCAACAGCCTCTCTGTCACTCAGCCACAATCCCCGCTGGTTTTCTCAGCCTGGAGATACAGGGACTTCTCTTCCTGGCATTGGAACCCTGCACCGAAGAGTCTGGTGTAGGGCTGGGACTCCTTGCTTCTCACAGGGGACCTCCACAGTCAAGATATCCCTCCCAATTAAGTGGCTATAGGACCAGCCCGTTTGTTCCTCTGCCCTGCCTACCAGTCTGATGTGGCTTTAATTCCCTGGTTGTAGGACTTCTATTTAGCCAGATTTCAGGTGCTTCTGAATAATAGTTGTTGTGTAGTTTAGTTGTAATTTTGATACGGTTGTGGGAGGAGGCGAGTACTGCTTTAACCTACACCACCATCTTGACTCCCATCTCAAATTTTTTTTAATCCTTATCTGAAGATATTTGTCCATTGATTTTTATTTTATTTATTTTTTAACATTTGACTATATATTGACATTTTACCAGCTTTGCCTAGGTTATAATCTTAGTAAGTTTCCAGAAATAGCTGAAAATACAAATTTTAACAGTTCATTCCTTTGCCAAGGTATACAGATTTTGAGATTGGTTGAAGACTAACATATGCCTACAAAACTGATGTTGCTACAAATGCTGTGGGAGTTTGGTTACAGAATGCAGCAAAACTGTAGGGGCTGTACTTTACCTTGACAGAACAAAATCCCCAAAACATGGGGTTTAACTAAAAACAGTACACCTTTTGTGGCAGGTTAAGTTCTATAGGAGATACTTAAAGGAAAATGCAAAACTACATTCGTCTAGCAAGAAGAGATTTCACATATGCAACCATTACTTAAGAGAGCAACATGTCCGACATGCCTTAAATACATACTTGTACTTTTTTTTTTCTATTTTTTGTTCAGGTAGAGTGGGAGGGAGAGAGAGGAAGAGAGAGAGAGAGAAACATCAACGTGAAAGAGACACATCGAGTGGTTGCCACCCGCACAACCAACCAGGGCCGGGGACAAACTGCAACCAAGGTACGTGCCCCCAGCGGGAACCGAACCCGGGACTGTCTGGACTGCAGGCCGACGCTCTAACCGCTGAGCCAAACCGGCCAGGGCCATACTTGTACTTTTGAAAGAAGTTTGGAGCTTCAAAAAGTTTGGACCACTCTCCCTTACTCAGCAAAATTTCATCTATGATAGCAAGACCTTGTTTAAACTCCTCAACCATGACCATCCATGTTGAAACAGACACATTGTTTGTGGAGTTCTGTTGTGGGTATGCTGGTGTAATTATAGGCATAAGATGGTACCTATCACTGGGATTTACCCTTGGGTTCCATATAGGCAAATTAAGATTGCATTCTTCAGGTTGTTTCAATAGCACTGGATTTGGCCATTCCCATTTAGAAAATACCAAGAAAAATTTAAGTACAAGAGTTGATGCTATTGCAGCTATTTGGATAAAGCTGGCAAGTTCTTGCTACTAGCATAGCGCAGGAAACACCACCGAGGAAACCTAATATATTGGAATAGATGTTGTAGTGTTTGGCCCACAGTTTGATAGCTCTCAGAGTTAACCTGAAGTTGTCAATGTTTGGTACTAGGTGTCAAATTTCATCATTACCCTGCAACCGTTAAGACTTTTTATGCATCTTATATCTAAATTTTTAAGCAGACTGTTATCTTGTAAGTCCAAGTCTTCTGGAATAGCCTGCAGTGCTAATCTTGCAAATAAAATATCAATCTCTATCCCATCAAAACACAGTTTGATACCTGGCACAGATGCCTCTTCAACAGCTTTTAAATCTTTTACTTCTTCCTGTAGTTTTAACTTATCATAGAATGAGGTGAAAAAGTCACTCCAATCAACATATCTTGGTGCAACACACAACGCATCAGTATCGGCACCTTTTGTGTGTACTCCTAATCTGTAAGATCCAAATGTAAAAATTTTTCCTCCAACATTTTCAATTACAGATTGTGGAAGATTCTTGCTTTCACTGATTTCATGTATCCACTCTTTTACTGGGTTATTTAATTTTCCCAAAATTAAAATCCTGCGCTGCAGTTCCTCTTCCTCTTCAAAAACCCCAAAAGGCTTCAGAATCTCAATTAGTTTCTGTGTAAGCAGGCAGTCAGTCTCCTTGGGGGCTGCTAAGCTGATGGGAGAGGTAATGCCATAGTGCTTCTGTGGCAGCTGTGTTTGTTGTGATCCCTGCGTTGTAACTGGAAATGGCATTGTCACCCCCCCACCCCCGCTACTGCCTCCGCCGCTGCTGCCCTGGGCAGGATCCACTGGGGGGCGGGGGGCGCGCTGGGCTGTCACAGCCCTGGGTCCAACCCCACTCCCGCACCCTCTCCAGCCGCTTTAAGCGCTTCTCCTTCCCCTTTGTCCTCTGTCCACTGATTTTTAGACAGAGTGGAAGGGAAGAAGGGAGGGAGAGAGAGAAACATCAATGTGAGAGAGACACATATATTGGTTGCCTCCTTCATGACCCCTACTGGGCTAGGGATAGAACCTGGAACCCAGGTATGTGCCCTTGACTGGGAATCAGACCCATGGCCCTTCGGCCTTCGGGCTGAGGCTCTAACTGCTGAGCCAAACTGGGCAGGGATAACATAATTTATTATAAAAATTCTCTACAGGTTCAGATGTTGTTACATCAATAGTGTGGTCTGTTGTTGACCAAAAAATCATTACCTGGTGCATGACCAGTTCAATATGATTTGACATATGTGTAAAACTGTAGAACCTGGGCCACAACGAGGACACAAAACATTTCCATCACTTTCCAGAGTTCCTTGTGCCCCCCCTATTGGCCCAGGAAATCACTGACCTGCTTTCTGTCACTACAGTTTTGCCTTTTCCAGAACGTCTTATGAATGGAATCACAGAATATGATGATTGTGCCTCACTTCTTCTGCTCAACATATTTTTGAAATTTATCCATATTGTGCGTATTAATAGGTTGTTAATTTTATTGTTGCATAGTAGTCCATTGTATGGATGTACTACAATCTGTTTATCTAATCTCCTGTTGATGAACCCTTGGGTTATTTTGATTTTTGACTATTAAGAATAAAACTTATTAACATTTATAACAAGTCTTTTTGTAAACATATGTTCTCATTTTTCTTGGGTAAATACCTAGGAGTGGAACTGCTGGATTGTATGATAAATTTATATTTAATTTTATAAAAAACTGTGAAACTGTTTTCCAGAATAGTGGTGCCATTACTTTCTAATCATTAGTCTATGAAATTCCAGTAGTTCCACATCCTTAAAAATATTTGGAATTCTCAGTCTTTTTAAATAAAGAGCCCCACACTTAAGATCACACAAAACTACCTAGGTGATTTTGCTATGAGGCAGCTTTCTGATATGTTCAAAACAAATTATGTGAGGAATGCACACAGGATGCATTGAGGCTCCTTATTATATCTTACTAATCATGGCTCGTTAAAAGGTAGAGTATACGGTTTAGAATCATGACCTGGTCAAGATGCTCAACTAGTACAATAGATAGGTCTTTCCCCCAGCATCACCCTAGAGGGACAATAGAAAGAAAATAAACAATGCCCTGGCCGGTTTGGCTCAGCGGTTGGAGCGTCGGCCTGTGGACCAGAGTCCCGGATTCAATTCCCGCTAGGGGCACGTACCAAAACAACAACAACAAAAAACAAAACAATAGCTTTGACACGGTCCTGGAAATCTAGAAGGCCATGAGTATGTGTAGGGATATGCTCATGCCCAATGTTAAGTTCATGTTTAGGAAAGCCCTACAAAGCTCTAAACTCTCACCACTGACTACCTTGAAGATCTGAAGAAGGAAGAAGGAAGGGCTAAACCAGAACTGTAAAGTGCTTGGCTGAGTTGTTGAAGCATACCCTAACACATGCACCACAACATATCAACCTTTGTCAAAGGTTGAGAGACCTCTTGGTTCCAGATATTTAAGATGTCTGCTCAATCATTACATGATCACTAAGCTAACCAAGCAGAGACTACAGTGGCTATGCATGACAAAGGACACAGACTTAACAGGATTAGTTTTTAAAAATCACTGGACAAAGAACAAAAAGCAACAAACCACGAGGAGGTAATATGATTTCCAAAGTTGCCACATATTATTTAAAATGTTCAGTTTTCAACAGAAAACTGAAACATGCCAAGTGTTGACATAAGAAAATGCCCACATGTATAGAGAATTTATTTAAAAAAAATTTTTTTTCGTGATTTTATTTTATTTATTTATTTATTTATTTATTTATTTATTTATTTATTTATTTATTTATTTTTATCCTCACCCGAGGACATTTTTCCATTTTTTGTTCAGGTAGAATGGGAGGGAAAGAGAGGAACAGAGAGAGAGAGAGAAACATCGATGCGAAAGGAACACATCGAGTGGCTGCCACCTGCACAACCGACCAGGGCCGGGGACAAACTGCAACCGAGGTACGCACCCTTAGCGGGAACCAAACCCGGGTCTCTCTGGACCACAGGCTGACGCTCTAACCGCTGAGCCAAACCGGCCAGGGCAAGAATTTAGTTTTAATTTATTGATTTTAGAGAGAGAGAAAGGAAGAGAGCGAGAGAAAGAAAGAAAATGATTTGCTGTTCCACCTACCCAGGCACTTACTGGTTGATTCACATGGGCCCTGACGGGGGAATCAAACCCGTAACCCTAGCACATCTGGATGATGCTCCAAACAACTGAGCCACTCAGCCAGAGCTGCAGAGAATTTTCATGAATTTCTTTGAGCCAAAATTGACAATTGTCAGAAAGCAAGATCTCAAATGGTCAAGAAAATGACAGTTTTGCAGTTTATTTTATGCATTTGTAATCAAGGAGGGAATATAAGGAAGATGACATGAAGGTGGGAGAAAGCAAGGCAAGGATTGGATTATAGCAGGGATGGGGAATGTCTGGCCCATGAAATCAATAGCAGCTAACATCACGTGCCTCACCAAATTAGCCTGACCAAACATAGCAGGCTAATTTTTAAGTTGATAATTTTGTATGGCCTGCAAATGATGTTATAAATATCTACATGGCCCTTGGCAGAAAAAAGGTTCCCCACCCCTGGATTACAGGATAATAAGTTAATAAGTTAATAAGATTATGTGCTCTCTTGAGGGTGGTGAAGGGGTGCTACTTCTGGTATTTGAAAGGTGTCCTATAAAAAAATTAAAGAAAGAAGAAAAAAATAACAACAAAAAAATCCCATAAGGAAAAAAAAAAAAAAAGAGAGGTGTCCTAACCTAGATGCATGAGAACAATGGGCAGGGTTTGCTTAAACCTTTGCTAAAGAAGTTATATGTTAAAAAAAAAAAAAAGTTATAAGCCTGGGACATGACTACCCACTGTGAACTACTCAGTGAGGAAATTATGATTTATTACAGCACCCATTTTTTGCCCACAAAAGAAAGGAGAAACCATGGCCCATATGGGTGAGTGGAGAAGAAAAGCAAACAATAGAAACTATCCCTGAGGAAGCCCAGATGCTGGCCTCATTAGACAAAAATTTAACAATTTTTAAAAATTTATTGATTTTCTTATAGAGAGAAACATTGATTTGTTGTTCCACTTATCCATGCACCCATTGATTGATTCTTGTATGTGCCCTGACCAGACTGGGGACTGACCCCACAGCTTTGATGTACTGGTACGATGCTCTAACCAACTGAGCTACTTGGCCAGGGCTAGATAAAGACTTTAAATGAGATGTTATATGTTAAAAGGACTAAAGGAAACCATATCTAAAGAACTAATAAACAAAACATGAAAATAAGGTGTCACCAAATACAGAATATCAATAAATATATATAGAGCCCTGGCTGGTTTGGCTCAGTGTAGGCCTGTAGATTGAAGGGTCACGGGTTTGGTCTCCAGCCCTGGTTGGGGTCATGTGGGAGGCAACCAATCAATGTGTCTCTCTCACATTGATGTTTCTCTCTCTCTCTCCCCCTCCCTCCCTCTCTCTCTTTCACCCCCTTCCCTCCATTCCACTCTATCTGAAAGATCAATGGAAAAATATCTTCTGGTGAGGATGAACTAAATAGATAGATTAGATTAGATAGAATCAAAAGACAAAGACAAAGAGGGTGGGTAAGTAAAATGGGTGAAGGTGGTCAGAAGTACAAACTTCCAGTTAAAAGTCAATAAAATAATGTACAGCACGATGACTACAGTTAATACTGTATTGCATATTTTAAAGTTGCTAAGAGTAGATCTTAAATGTTCTTATCACAGGAAAAAAATTGTAACTGTGTACGGTGATGAATGTTAACTAGACTTACTGTGGTGATCATTTCACAATACAGGTGACCCTTGAACAATGTGGGAGTTAGGGACGCCAACCACTCGCACAACTGAAAATCTATGCGTAACTTAACTTGGCCTTCCACATATGTGAATTCCCAATCATGGATCTAAAATACAGTTGATCCTTGCCTGGCTGGAGTGGCTCAGTTGTTGAGCATTGTCCCATGCACCAAGATGTTGCTGGTTTGATTCCTGGCCAGGGCACATGCCTGGGTTGTGGGCTCAATCCCCAGTAGGGGGCATGCAGGAGGCAGCTAATCAATGTTTTTCTCTCATTGATATTTCTATCTCTCTCTCTGTCTCCCTTCCTCTCTCTGAAATCAATAAAAACATATTTTTAAAAATACAGTTGATCCTTGAACAATGTGAGCTTGAACTTTATGGGTCCACTTATGAGGTACAAGGATCCACAGTTCAAACCTGCATTGTTCAAGGGTCAACTGTTTATATAGTTATTGAATTATGTTGTATATCTAAAACTAATACAATGTTGTATGTCAGTTATATCTCAATAGAAAAAATACAAAGAAAGAATATTGAAATCAGTGAGAGTCATCATATACAAGAGATTCTTAACAAGAATAACAACCAGTTCCTTATGAGAAACCATAAAGCCAGAAGGCATTGGGATGACATATTCAAAGTGATGAAAGAAAAAGATTGTCAATCAAATATTCTATATAAAGTATCCTTCATATAGAAAGAAAAAAAATTACAAAAAAGAAAAAGAAAAACAGAACAAACAAACAAAAAGTATCCTTCAAAAATGAAGGAGAGCCCTGGTCAGTGTGTCTCAATGATTAGAGCATTGGCCTGTGCACCAAAGGGTCGCAGGTTCGATTCCAGTCAAGGGCACATACCTGGGTTGCAGGTTCAATTTCCAGCCCTGGCTGGGTATGTGGGGAAGGCAACCAATCAATGTGTCTCTCTCACATTGATGTTTCTCTCTCTCTCTCTCTCTCTCTCTCTCTTCCTCTCTCCCTCTCCCTCCCACTCTCTTTGAAAATCAATGGAAAAAATATCCTCGGGTGATGATTAACAAAAAAATAAAAAATGAAGGAGAGCCCTGGACAGGTGGCTCAGTTGGTTAGAGCATCGTCCCATACATCAAAAAAGGTTGAGGGTTTGATTTCTGGGCAGGGCACATACCTAAGTTGTGGTTTAGATGCCCTATTGGGGTGCATATAGGAGGTAACCGATTGATGTCTAGCTCTCATATCGAAGTTTTTTTTCCCTCTCCCTCCCTCTCTTTCTATAACATAAACATATCCTTGAGTGAGGATTAAAAAAAAAAAAGGAAATAAAGAGCACTGGTAAAGACATATGTAGGTTGAAAACAAAAGGGTGGACAAGGTATACCATGCAAACAGTAACCAAAAGAGCTGGTGTGGCTGTACTAATATCAGACATAAGAAACTTGAAGATTAAAATTGTTACTAGCTGGAAATATCAAGGGGGGACACTTTATAAAGTATGTGATTGTCTAACCACTATGCTGTACACTTGAAATTAATACAAAAGAATACTAGTGTATACAGTAAATAATTAGCGTGCCTAAATAAAAAAACTGTTACTAGCAATATAAACACTTTACAATGATAGAATCTATCAAAAGAGTATAACCATTACAAACACATATGCATTTAACAATAGAGCCCCAAAATACATATAGCAAAAACTCACAGAATAGAAAGGGGAAATACACAGTTCAACAATAGTTTAATCTCTCATTTTCTTAAAAAAATTTTTTTTTCTTTATTGATTTTTGGAGAGAGAGGGGGGGAGAGAGAGAGAGAGAGAGAGAAACATTGATGAGAGAGACCATCAAATGACTGCCTCCTGCATGCTCACCATTGGGGATTTGGCCCACAACCTGAGTATGTGTCCTGACTGGGAATAGAACTGGTGACCTCTTGGTGCATGGGTCGATGCTCAACCACTGAGCCACAGCGGCTGAGCCAAACTCTCATTTTCAGTAACAGTACAATTAGAAGATCAATAAGAAAACAGAAGACTAGTCCTGGCCAGTTTGGCTTAGTTAAGGGTTGCGTGTTTGATTCCTGGTCAAGGGCACATACCTGGGTTGTAGGTTGGATCCCCAACCCTGGTGTGGGTCATGTGGAAGGCAATCAATCGATGTGTCTCTCTCACATTGATGTTTTTCTCTCTCTCTCTCCCTCCTACTCAATTTAAAAATCAATGGAAAAATATCCTCGGGTGAAGATTAACAAAATAAATAAATAAAACAGAAGACTTGAACAACACTATAAAAACAAGTGATTCTAAAAAAAGCTCCCAAGTCCAATTGGTGTGGCTTGGTGGTTGAGCATCGACCCATGCACCAAGAGGTCGCCAGTTTGATTCCTGGTGAGGACACATACCCAGGTTGTGGGCCTGATCCCTGGGGTGGGGTGGGGGGGCATGCAGGAGGCGTCCAGTCGATGTTCTTTCTCATCTATGATTCTCTCTCTCCCTCTCACATCCTCTCTTTCTAAACCCAATAAAGGGGAAACAAATAAAACAAGACAAGACTTCTCAAGTGCACATGGAACATTCTCCAGCATAGACTATATATTAGGCCATAATATAGTTTAAAAACTTAGAATCATACTAAGTATCTTTTGCCAACACAGTGGAATGAAACTAGAAATAAATAGCAGAACAATGTAAACTTAAAAATATTTGGAAATTACATGTGTCAAAGAAGTCAGGGAGATTAGAGAATATCTAGAATGAATGAAAATGAGAACAACATACTAAAAATTATGAATGCAATGAAAGTAATGCTTACAGGAAAAGTTCTGTCTGTAAACACCTATGTTGAAAAAGAAATAGGACCTCTAATAATCTAAATTTCTACCTTAAGAAACTACAAAAAGAGGAGCAAACTAAACCCAAAACACAGAAGAAAGAAAATCATAAGGATGGAGTAGAAATAAATAGAAATAGAAAAGCAATAGAAAAAATCTAAACAAAACCAAAAGTTGGTTTTTGAGAGTATCAACAAAATTGACAAAGTTCAGTTAGGTTGACCGAGATAAAAATACTTGTTACAAAAACCAAGAATCCAAGAGGACACATAATATAAGTTATATGGAAATAATATGTACAACTTTATGCCAACAAGTTGGAGAACTTAGATGAAATTCCTAGAAAGATAAATACTGTCATTGACTTGAGAAGGAATAGAAAATCTGAATTAGACCTATAGTAAGAAAGAACAATGGGTAGTAATATTAAATTCCCACAAAGAAAAGCCTAGAACCAGATGACTTCACTGGTCAATTTTACCAAAATGTTTAAAGAATTACTACCAATCCTTCAGAAAGTCTTTCAGAGAATAGAAGAGGTATGAACACTTTTCAGCTCTTTCTTTGAGGCCAGTATTATTCTGATACCAAAACCAGACAAAGATATTTCAAGAAAACTACAGATAAATATCTCTTAAGAATACAGATGCAGCTCTGGCCATGCAGCTCAGTTGGTTAGAGTGTCATCTCGATACTCCAAGGTTGTGGGTTCAATTACCAGTCAGGGCACATACAAGAATCAACCAATGGCCCTGGCCAGTGTGGCTCAGTTGGGCATCATCCTGTGCACCAAAAAGTTGCCAGTTCAATTCATGGTCAGGGCCTGGGTTGTGGGCTCAATCTCCAGTAGGGGTCGTGCAGGCGGCCACTCGGTGTTTGGCTCCCACATTAATGTTTCTGTCTCTCTCCCTCTAGCTTCCCCTATTTCTAAAAATCAATTTTAAAATATCTTAAAAATAAATCAACCAATGAATGCAGAAGTGGAACAACAACAATAACAAAAAACCTCCATAAAAAACTAGCAAATTGAATCTAGCAACATATAAAAAGGATTATATATATACCATGATCAAGTGGAATTTGTCCCAGGAATGTAAAGTTGGTTCAACATATGAAAATCAGGTAACATAAACCATATTAATAGGATTAAGGAGGAAAAATCATCATTTCAATAAATGCAGAAAAAGCATCTGACAAAATCCAATAGTCTTTTATGATAAAAGCACTCAACAAATTAGGAAAAGAAGGCAACTTCTTTAACCTGATAAAAAGACATCCATGAAAGACTCACAAATAATATCATCCTTAGTGGAGAAAGACAATGTTTTCCCCTAAGATTGGGAACAAGACAAGATGTGCATTCTTTTTTTTTTTTTTTTTATCCTCACCCGAGGATATTTTTCCATTTTTTGTACAGATAGAGTGGGAGGGAGAGAGAGGAAGGGAGAGAGAGAGAGAGAAACATCGACGTGAAGGGACACATCGAGTGGCTGCCACCCGCATGACCAACCAGGGCCGGGGACAAACTGCAACCGAAGTACGTGCCCTTAGCGGAAACCGAACCTGCGTCTCTCCGGACCGCAGGCTGACGCTCTAACCGCTGAGCCAAACTGGCCAGGGCAAGATGTGCATTCTTGAGACTTCTATTTAACATTGAACTGGAGGTTCTAGGGCAATTAGGCAAGAAAAAGAAATAAAAGGCATTCAGAATGGAAAGGAAAAAGTAAACTATCTCTATTCTCAGATGACATGATTTTTGTACACAGAAAATTCTAAAGAATCCATAAAAAACTATTAGAGTTAATATATGCATTCAGCAAGATTGCACAAGACCAATATTAAAAAACCAGTTGTATTTCTATACACTAACAATGGAGAATCTGAAAGTGAAATTAAGAAACAATTCTATTTACAAAAGCATGAAAAAGAATAAAAGAGGAGTAAATTTAACCAAAGTAGTTTAAGACTTACACAATGAAAATTATAAAACATAATTGAAACCTACATAAATGGACAAACATTCCATGTTCATGGATTAGAAGACTTAATGTTTTTAAGATGGCACCCCAGCTGGTGTGGCTCAGTGGTTGAGTATCTACTCATGCACCAAGAGGTCGCCAGCTCGATTCCTGGTGAGGGTACATGCCCGGGTTGTGGGCCCGATCCCCAGTGGGGGGCATGCAGGAGGCGGCCAATCAATGTTCTCACTCATTAATGTCCCTTTCTCTCTCCTTCTCCCTTCCTCTCTCTCTAAAATCAATAAAGAAAAATTATAAACAAAATATATTTTTAAGATGGCAATACTCACCAAACTGATCTACAGCTTCAGTGCAGTCTCTACCAAAATGCAAGCTGCCTTTTTGTAAAAATTGACTAGCTGATTCTGAAAATTCATATTGAAATGCAAGGGACCCAGAATAGCCAACACAATCTTCAAAAAGAAGAACAAAGACTGGAAGACTCAAAAACATACTACAGCCCTGGCTGGTTTGGCTCAGCGGTTAGAACATTGGCCTGCAGTCCAGAGAGACCTGGGTTCGGTTCCCGCTGAGGGCACATACCTTGGTTGCAGTTTGTCCCCGGCCCTGGTTTGGTCATGCGGGTGGCAACCACTTGATGTGTCCCCCCTTTGACGTCGATGTCTCTCTCTCTCTCTCTCTCTCCCCCTCCCACTCTATCTGAACAAAAATGGAAAAATGTCCTCGGGTGAGGATAAAAAAAAACAACAAAACATACTACAAAGTACAATAATCTAGGCTCTGTGCAACTGGCAAAAGGATAGGTATATAGATAAACAGGATAGTCCAGAAATAAACCCATAAACCCACAGATTTATGGTCAATTGATTATTATTATTATTTTTTAAAAAAGGAATGCTTCATAAATTTGAGTGTCTTCCTTGTGCAAGGGCCATGCTAATCTTCTCAGTATCATTCCAATTTTAGTATATGTGCTGCCGAAGCAAGCACTCAATAGATTCTTGACAAGGGCACCAAGAGCATTCGATGAGATGAGAATGGTCTTTTTGGTAAATAGTGTTGGGACAACTGGATATCTACATGTAAGGATCAAGTTACCCCCTACCTTATACCATATGCAAAAATTAGTTAAAAATGGATCAAGACCTAAATGTAAGACCTAAAACTATAAAACTCTTCAAAGACAACAAAGGTGTACATCTTTATGACCTTTGATTAGGCAATGGTTTGTTAGATATGACTTCAAAACACAGGCAACCAAAAAGAAAAATTGGACTTAATAAAAAATTAAAATCTTTTGTGCTTCAAAGCACACTACCAAGAGAGTGAGAAGACAACTCAGATAATGAAAGAAAAAATATTTACAAATTCTGTCCGATAAGGATCTAGTGTCTAGGATATATGAAGAACCTCCACAACTCAATAAAAAAAGACAGGTAATCCAATTAAAACAGGCAAAGGATTGGGGTGGTGAACATACAATACAGTGTACAGATGATGTGTTGTGGAATTATGCACTTGAAACCTGTATAATTTTGTTAACCAGTGTCACCCCAATCAATTCAATGAAAAGAAAAAAAAGAAAAAATAAGCACAGGATATCAGTGGGCCTTTTCCAAAGAATATATATATAATTGTCAATAGGCACATGAAAAGAAACTCAACATAGTAGCCATCACAGAAATGCAAATCACATTGACATACCACTTCATACTCACGAGGATGGCTATAATAAAAGACAGAAAATAACAAATGCTGACAAAGGATATGGAGAAACTCATACATTGCTGGTGGGCATGAAAACTGCTATAGCTGCTTGCTTGGAAAAAGTCTGTCATTCCTCAAAAAGTTAATTCTAGAGTTGCCACATGACCCAGCAAGTCCACTCATAGATATATACTGACTAGAACTGAAAATATATGTGCATACAAAAACATGTACATGAATGTTCATTGCAGTATTATTCATAATAGACACGATAGGGGAAAAAATTCAAATTTTCATTAACTAAAGAATGGATACATAGGAATGTAGTAGAGTCATACAATGGAATATTATTCACCTGTAAAAAGGAATGAAATACTGATTCATGCTATAACATAGAAGAAACTTGTAAATATTATACTATGTGATAGAAGCCAGACACAAAGTGTCACATGAGTGATTCCATTTATATGAAATACCAAGAATAGGCAAATCCATGGAAACAGAATGAAGGTTAGTGACTGCCAGAATTTGTAGAGAGAACACATGGAGTGTGACTGCTAATAGGTATAGGAATGCTTTAAAAATTTTTTTTGTTTAATTCTTACCCGAGAATATTTTTCCATTGTTTTTTTTTTTTAGATAGAGTGGAAGGGAGGGAGGGGGAAAAAGAGAGAGAGAGAGAAACATCGATGTGAGAGAGAAATATCAATTGGTTGCCTCTCGCACGACCCCAACAGGGGCTGGGGAGTGAACCTGCAACCCAGGTGCCTATCCCCAACTGAGAATGGAACCTGCAGCTCTTCAGTCCCCTGGCCGATGCTCTAAACGCTGAGCCAAATCAGCCAGGGCAGGAATGCTTTTTGGGGTAATAAAAATGTTCTGGAATTAAGACAGTTGCACAACTTGGGGAGTATACTAAAAATCACTGAATTGTACTTGTATCTGAAAGAATACATTTTATAGTATGTGAATTATCTCTCAACTAAGAAAGCATCAGTGAATTCAGCTTTTTCAACAGCAATACTGCATACAAGGTGAAAATGGAATATACTTTTTTTTTTTAAATCCTCACCCAAGGATATTTTCCCATTTATCTTCAGACAGAGTGGGAGGGAGGGAGAGAAACATTGACATGAGAAAGACACATCGATTGGTTGCCTCCCGCAGGACCCCGACCAAGGCTGGGGATGAACTGCAACCGAGGTACGTGCCCTTGACCAGAATCGAACCCTAGACTCATTGGTCTGTGGGCTGATGCTCTAACTGCTGAGCCAAACCAACCAGGGCTACTTTTTTTTTTTATTCTGACCCGAGGATATTTTTCCATTTATCTTCAGAAAGAATGGTAGGGAGGGAGAGAAAGAGAAAGAAACATCGACGTGAAAGAGACACATCAACCAGCTGCCTCTCACATGACCCCGACCAGGGCCAGGAACAAACAGAGGTACATGCCCTTGACCGGAATCAAACTCATGACTCATTGATCTGCAGGCTGATACTCGAAGCACTGAGCCAAACCGGCCAGGGCCTACTTTTTTCTTTTTTAATTGATTTTAGAGAGAGAGAGGAAGGGAGAGGGAGAGAAAGATGGAAACACTGATAAGAGAAACATTGATCAGCTGACCCACCATGCCCCCTACTGGGGATCAAGCCAGCAACCCCAACAGGGAATCGAACCTGCAACCTCTTGGTGCATGGGCCAGTATTCAACAAACTGAGCCACTTGGGCTGGACAAAATGGAATATGCTTTTAAATATTTTAGCTAACTATAAAATCTAGGTCCTAGAGCAAGCTCCTTGAAGGAAAATAACTAGGACCTAGATTTTATAGTTAGCTAAAATATTTAAATATGAGGGTCTGATAAAAATATTTTTAGGCACACAAGACAATAGAAGGTTTGCAACATAAAGGCTTGCACTGAAAATAATTTGGGATTAACTACTTGTAATACGGATACTCAAATAAAATAGAAAAGATTAGAGATAGGAAAATATATTGAACTGAAATTATAAATTAATATAATGGCAACAGGCCTAAAAACATCAATAGTTATGTTAAATTTTAATTGTCTAAAGTCATTACTTTAAAATCAAATATTAACAGATTTTGACAAAAGGTCAAATTTTAGATACATGTAGGTTAAAACAAACAAACCTAAAACATGAACACATACAAAAAGCACAAATAGAAGGGTGGAAAAATACATATCAGCCTAAAGAAATCAGGAGTAGCTTTATCAGATAAAATAAAATTTAAGACAAAATAATTACTTGGAATGGAAATGATTATTCCATATGATAAAACATTCAATTCCTGGAAAACTGGACAGCCACCCACAAAAGAAGGAAATGGGACCACTATTTTACACCATACAGAAAAGTCGACTAAAAATAAATGAAACACTAGAATGTAAGACCTGAAACTATAGCCCTGTCCAGTTTGGTTCAGTGGTTAGAACCTCAGCTGTGGGCTGAAGGGTCTTGGTTTCAATTCCCAGTCAAGAGCATGTACCTGGGTTGCAGGTTTGATCCCCAGCCCTGATCGAGTGTGTGCAGGAGTCAACCAATGGATGTGTCTCTCTCACATCGATATTTCTCTCTCTCTCTCTTCCCCCTTCCTCCCTCCCTTCCACTCTAAAAAATCAATGTAAGAAATATCCTCAGGTGAGGATTAACAACAAAAACAACAAAATAATAAGACCTGAAACTATAAAACACTTAGTAGGAAACATAGGTAGTAAGCTCCTTGACATCAGTTTTGTCGATTTTTTGGATTTGATACCAAAAGCAAAGGCAACAAAAATATAAACTAGTGGGACTACATCAAACTAAAAAGCTTCTGCATAGCAAAGGAAACCATTAATAAAATGAAAAGGCAATCAACCAAATGGGAGAAAATATTTGCAAATCATATAAGGAGATAATGTCTAAAATATATAAAGAATTTATATAATTCAATAGCAAAAACCCCAAACAATATGGTTAAGAATTGGCAGAGGATCTGAACAGACATTTTCTCAAAGACATACAGGTGGCTAACAGGTACCCAAAAAAAGGTACTCAATATCACTAATCATCAGGGAAATACAAACCAAAACTTTGATGAGATATCACCTCACACCTGTTAGAATGGCTATCATCAAAAGAAAAGAAATAACAAATGTTGGCGAGGACGTGGGAAAAAGGAACCTTTGTGCACTGTTGGTGGAAATGTAAATTGGTGCAGCCACTATGGAAAACAGTATGGACATTCCTCAAAAAATTAAAAAATAGAGCTGTTGCCCTGGCCAGTTTGGCTCAGTAGTTATAGTGTCGGCCTGCGGACCAGAGAGACCCGGGTTCGGTTCCCGCTAAGGGTGTGTACTTGGTTGCAGTTGGTCCCCAGCCCCGGGTTGGGGTCATGTGGGTGGCAACCTGTCAATGTCTCTCTCTCACGTTGATGTTTCTCTCTCTTCATCCCGCTCTCCCTTCTGCTCTGAAGATGAATGCAGAAGTGTTCTTGGGTAAGGATAAAAAAAAAGAAAAAAAAAAAAAAGAGCTGTCAGCCTGGCTGGTGTGTCTCAGTGGCTGAGTGTTGACCTATGCACCAGGAGGTTGCTGGTTTGATTCCCGGGTTGTGGACCCGATCCCCAGTGGGGAGCATGCAGGAGGGGGTGAGTCGATGTTCTCTCTCATCGATGTTTCTATCTCTCTCTCCCTCTCCTTTCCTATCTCTCTTAAATCGATAAAGAAAAAAAAATAGAAGATGGCTGCATAGGTAAACGTGGTATCGCGTCCTCCCACAACCACATCAAAGTTACAACTAAACTACAGAACAACCATCATTCCAAACTGCCTGAAATCAAGCTGAATGGAAGTCCTACAACTACGGAATTAAAGCAGCAACCACATGGAGACTGGTAGGAGGGGCGGAGGCAGACGGGCTGGTCCCACACCCATGTGTGGCGGATTAAAAATCAGGAGGACACCTTGGCTGGGAGGGTCCTCCCTGAGGACTGAGGGGTCCTGTCCCACACCAGACGCCCTGCTCAGGGTTCCAGTGCCAGGAAGTTCTAGAAACCCTCATAACTTCTGGCTGGAAAAACCATCAGGAACTGAGGCTCTGTGAGGCTGAGGCGGCTGGAGTCTCAGGCAGCTCCTTAAAGGGCCCGCACACAGACTTGGACTCACTCCCTCTAAGCTTGGAAGGGAGGCAGCTCGAAGGGCACCAAAGACATACAGGGGAGAACTGAGCTGTTTGGCACTGGAGTGAGGGCTGGAGAGGGGGCTTTCTGTCAGAGGCC